TTTTTGCTTCCCCAAAGAACCTTTCAGTGAACGTGTCTTCATTTTTTTCTTAATTTCTTAGCGCAAAGAACATTTTAAAATTCTAAAGAATCTTTTGTCACTATAACGAAACTTGCAATGGAAAATTTCCATGGATATTAAAGGTACTTTATGGAACCATTGATGCCAAAAAATAACCTACTGTATTTTCAAGAGTGTATGAAATTGATTTCAATGCACTCTTTTTAAATAACAGTGATATTCTTACCGAGTTCGTCTTGCATGAAGCTGTCTGGAGGGTTGACATACTCCATTGTGGCCACGTTCAGTTTCCAGTAGTGTTTGGTGCAGCGCACTGTTCTGTTACACAAACACATAAGTGCACTTTTTTAGTGATTCGTAATAAATATTTATATTTTTTGAAAATGTTTTTGTCTCTTCTGCTTACTAAGGCTGCATTTATTTAATCAAAAATACAGTTAAAACAGTAATATTGTTACATGTTTTTACAATTCAAAACATACTGTAAAATGTCATTTATTCCTGTGACGCAAAGCTGAACTTTTAGCTTCATTACTCCAGTCTTCAGTGTCACATGATCCCTCAGAAATCAGTTGAATATGTTGATTTGCTGCTCAAGAAACATTTCTGATCATTATCATTGTTTAATACACTCGTGCTGCTACATTATTTTTGTGGAAACTGTGATACATTGGTATCTGGTATCTTGATGGAATTTCTTTGAAATAGAAATCTTTTGTAACATGCCTAAATAACTGCCTCTCAGGGTTCTGTCACTTAAGTCTGGTTTATTCTTGGTTTTGTGACAGATCCCTGACACTCAAGTATGGTCTCGTCTTTTTGTGAGTGTGCGGTTTTGGGCGGACTCAAGCCGTGCACTCTCTAGTCTACATGTTGCAGGTATGGAGCGTGTTTTGTCTTTGCTATGAGCACACATTCCCTCACGTTCTTGCTAAGCCATTATTTGTTCATTTTCTCCACTTTTGTTTGCTTCCCTATTTCTTCTACCTGTGTTCTCAGTCCTGTGTCGGATCATTGTGAAGTGTTCCCTTTGTGTGTTTTCTGTGTGCCTTGTCGGTTCCCACCGTGCCCTGCCCTGTCTTGTCTAGTTTTCCCTCCTCTGGGTAGTTTTTGTTTGTTTTATTTATATTTATATTATATATATTATTCTTTTATCATTTAAATAAAGCCCATTGAACATTCATGCCTTACCATAAAACCTGACACACTTTTGATTCATTTTAATGCATCCTTGCTGAATAAAAGTACTAATTTCTTACTTACCCCTTCATACTTGTGATATATAATGGTTACCATGAAAATATAAAGCTGCACAACTGTTTTCAACACTGATAATAATCAGAAATGTTTCTTGAGCAGCAAATCAGCATATTAGAATGATTTCTGAAGGATCATGTGACACTGAAGACTGGAGTAAGAAATATTTACTAAAGTTTAAAAGACTTCCTTCAAAAACATCTATTAAAAAATCTATACAAGTGGTGGCAAAAATTGTTAGAACACCTGACAGATCAGAAAATATTGACCTTTTTGCCTCCAAAACATGATTTAATTTCATAATGTTCATGAAACATGCAGATGGTTGCTCTGAGCACAACAAATATCAGATGAATTGAGTTGCTGTTTTTATTCACTTTCAACTTTAATATTTGGTATGTCCACCTTTTGCAGCAATTACAGCAGCACATCTCTCTGGCATAGTGTCAATATATTTCCTGAGAACTTCAACACTAATGTTATCCCATGCCTTCTGCAACTCAAGCCAAAGGCTTTCCTTTGAATGTACAATAGACCTGTCCAGTTTATTTTCCAACTCGCCCCAAATTAGCTTGCTGGGGTTGAGGTCCGGACTTTGAGGGGGCCAGTGCATCATTCTCAATGTTCCAGCAGATTCCTTCCGTCGCAGGTAGTTCCAGCAGTAGTTCGTTTTATGGGCATTGTACTGGCCAATTCAACAAAAACAACTGAAACTTCTTAAAAATGCCAAGTGTTCTAACAATTTTGGCCACCACTGTATATCTGTTGCAGGAATATTTGCATGTATATATTTGCCTTTTCCCAAGTGAACTTGAGCTATTTTTATTTATAACTATAACTAAATGAGCTATTAGCTATTTGTCTGGTAAACATTGTTCCCTTGTTCTCTTTTTATTTTTCTATTCCCTATTATGTTAGTTTCCATTCACCCACCTGCCGTCCATGTCTTCTATGTCTTTAATGAAGAGTCCTCCCTGGTGTTTGCACTGGTTCACACACGCTCGTATTTTGTCTTTGCCTTTGTAAATGATGTAACATTTGCCATCCTCTTGGTTTTTCTTAAAATTAATTCCATCTTTTAGTGCCCGAATGTCTTCAGCCTCCAGTCGCAGGACAGTCTTTGAGACCTGAGATGTCATTGTGCTTCAGATCTAGAGACAAATGAGTCTTTGCGGTCAGATCTTAGCTCTTAATTCTTAATTATACACTATTATAATGCATTATTGATAGACAGGTGCAGCTAGAAATGTGTCATTCATTGCAAGACTGGTTTAAAACTATGTTCTTTATTCAAGAATAAATCAATTTGTCTGAAATGGATACTTTAACAACTAAACAAACCCAAATTTGACCAAAACATATGCAAAACCAAGTAACTGTGTTGTTCTATTTGTACTGGAAATATAATTTCCCACATTTTTTTCTGTCAAATAATTTTCAAATTATGACAATTTTTAAATCTCATTTAATTCTAATAATTTCACGGTTTGTTGAGTTATACAGACAAAGCAACATTACCTTTAATTGCTGTGAGCTGGTTTCTGAATTAAATGTGAGCAGAAAGAGTGTGTGTGAGCTGCAGCCCACATGTGAAGCTGAAAGTAAAAGTCTGCTCTCATTATCAAGCGCTTTCAGTTGAATTGAAAAGGCGTAGCTATCACTTCACCCTGAAAGCTCCTCATCCACATTTTAGTTGAACTTAGTCTTTTTTGTTTGTTTGTTTATTATGGCTGCTCAAGTGTATTGAGTACAACAACAAAAAAAGATTATTGGAGCATGTTTTACAAGAAAATACTACTTCAGTCATGTAATTAAATGTTCTGCTCTGCTTTGTAGATTCCAGTATACTCAAATCTGTGTTTTTTGAGTACACGGAAAAGAGTGTTAGGGTTTTTAAGTTCATTTGTCTATAATACTAAAATCATAGGAAATCACATGTCACCACACTTGACATTTCCACATCAGTTTCTCATTGAATAAAGCAACATGCACAAAAAGTCAGCCTAACAAAAACACTTTTGAATGTCAAATATACAGAAGCTTACTTGGAGTTGCTCGATGTAAACTCAGAATTCTGAGGAAAAAATGGGGGCATTCCAAAGTGCAAACATTTAATTCTGCATCGTGTACAAACAGCTTCTGTTTTATGTTTTTAAATGAAGCTATAGATGACAAATGCAGTACAACAATTTTAAACTAGAAAAAAAAAATTTCAGACAAACTTTGTTAGCTTGAGAAAGCATAGTCTGAAAGTTCGAAGTACTTGTAAAAGCTTGATGTTTGAAACAGTTTTAAAGATAGATGAACTAAAAATTAACTATGGCCTTTAGAATAATTTAGGTGAAAAAACAGATAAAGGTGGAAAATGACAAAACATTCTCCTTCAATTCAGATAAGGATAAGATAAAGATAAAACAAAGTCTAGAGTCCATCTGCTCAATCATGTGAAAACTATTTAATGTGCTTGTTAATAGCAGTAGCATTATCTTCTGCTTTTGAGAAGGCAAGATGTGAGTGTTTATTAAAGTACACGTTATCTATTTGTCTGTATATTTCAGTTACATATCTTTAAAGGGCATTTACATAAGCAGCACTGACATACACCACACTTAATGGTTTTTTGCTATCTGTATTCTGAAGGTTTTTACAGAAGGGTTTGTTTATATATCATTGTGAGAAAAAAAATCAAAATTATGAGAAAAAGTCCTACCTTTAAAATATATATATTTTTTTTCATTTTTTAATCTGTGGTTAAACAAGTTTTCATACCAATTAGATTTCAATTAGAACACAATTAATTAGGTAATGTGCATATTTAAACATTTCAGAAAACTCACATTAATGTCAGTATATATATATCCTCCTGAGAACCAGAAATAAAAAGCTTTGTGAATTTTGTATTTTTTCATGTCTTTACATTGTTTAGAGCATAAGAAAAAAATGGTAAAATAACATTTTTGAAAAATTATATTTTATTCATAAGTTATGCTATGTCCTCTGTAGAGGACACCAGTACTCAGTTTTTCTAAAAATAAAATGACAAGAGTAGACATGAAAATGCAAAAACAATGGGAATTTTTTTTAAATCACCAATCAATTTTTAGGTTTCAGGATTTTTTTATAACTAACTTTGTTTAAGGATGGTTCTCAACTATGTTATAAAATACATAACAAAATGATTTGATATAACATTTTGCTTTATGCAATATGTGTGTAAAAATTCTATAAAATGATTTTCCCATTAAGCACAGTGTTATCTATACACTGTATCTAATTGGCATATTAAAGTGCTGTTGGGACAGCATGTTGAAAAAAAGAAGTGTAATGATGGGAGTAGTAATTGGTCAGATTTTCATAATAATATCTAATATTTCATAAAAATATTGATATATAATTTGTTGAAACATCCAAACATCCAAACATTTGGTATCTCTGGAAAGCCCTGAATGTGCTCTGTACAGGACATCCAGACATGTAACATCTCAGAGAAATTCACTAAAACATAATGTCCACTACAGAGGCAAAAACTCCATTGCTGGGTCTCAGGAGGCTATGTAGATATGTACTGTACTGTAGATGATATGTGTGTATATATATATACAGTATACACACACACTATCAAAAAGGTAATTATTATCAAATTTGTATTCCTTTATTATTCAGAGAGGATAGTCGAGAGATGACAGGAAAGCATTGGGTAGAGAGAGGGGAGCGGGATCGGCATGGACCTTGAGATGGGATTCGAACTCGGCACTAACCGCGAGGCTATCGCGCCAATGCGAATTTGACTTTTGAATGTTCTCTGAATGTTCTGGATCAAGTAGTAAGATTTAAAAATGTTTCGCGAAGGACATTTTTAGAATTTATCATTTTAAATGAAACATTTCTCTTCTTTGCAGGCTTATCGTTTGTATACGTTTGACAGCAAAATGCAATGACACCTAGATGTCTGTCTGAAAATAATAATGTCCATAAGAACTCGTGACTTGAGTAACGAGCTGAGGTAATCAGTAACCAAATTAGCTTTTCCAGCAACACGGGGAGGTTTGCTGAATTGCACATTTAAGAAGAACCAATAATGTTAATGAAAAAATGATGTTATAAATCATCAGGTTGCCATTACCTATTATATAAAAATATAAATTCTATCACTGGAATTGGAATGTTAATTCAACATTGATGTTCATTACCGTTGCCGCAAGAACTTTTGTTCATATAGCTTTGAAAACCTTGCCAGAACGTTAGCCAAAGTTCTGAAAGCAACCTGTTAGCTTGCTAATGTGTGAGATTATATCATTAGAAATGTTTCTGCAAACTTTAAACAAACACTCATTTAGGACAGGAAGCCAAGGATGCTGGAGCCAAGGAATTTTATTTGAGCACAGGAAATTACAAAAAATAAAAAAGAATAAAGAATTGAAGGAAGCAAAAACAAATGAAGGGAACACAAAAACACGAGCCTACTGAGGCCAAATAAAACCAGAAACCAGTTGGTAAAGAGATTTATCACGGGACTGACAAAAAAACTAAAAAAAAAAATACAGATAACTACTCGTACTACTTTAAGTTTCTTGTCAAATTCCCTTTATCCACCTTATTTTGCAACACGGCAATAATCTTCTTTCAATGTGTGAGATTTCCTGTTCTTTAGATGCCACCTTTTTCCTAACGAGAGGCAAATACAGCTATGCGTTTGCTGAAAATAACGCTTAAGGCTAGAAGGGATTCATCAAAAACTACTAGGCATGCACACATTAATATAGCGTACATTTTCACACACTGTACAACAATTAGTGTTTTTGCATTATTGTAAGGGGTAGGTTTGGGGTTGGGGCAGGTGTAGACATTAATAAAACACAATCTAATAGGTAGAAAATTTAATTTATCGTTAGCTTCCGGTTTTTGCTGCATCCCTTCTAGCCACAACTGAAAATAACTTAAAGTGAATGACATCGGAAGCCGCAGACATTCAAATGATATATGTGACCCTGGAGCACAAAAGCAGTCTCAAGTTGCTGGGGGATATTTGTAGCAACAGCCAAAAAATACATTGTATGGGTCACAATTATCGATTTGTCTTTTATGCCAAAAATCATTAGGATATTAAGTAAAGATCATGTCCCATGAAGATATTTTGTAAATTTCCTACCGTAAATATATCAAAACTCAAATTTTTGATTTGTAATATGCATTGCTAAGAACTTCATCTGGACAACTCATTTTTTAGGTTTGTTGTGGGTTTTTGCTGGATTTTACTATCGTTACGTCTACGGTTCTGTTGAGTTTAATGCAAAAATATATTTGTCATCTGGTTGTCACTTCATATAGAGATGTTTAACACCATTTCTATATTCATTTTAGATTACCAAATCATTAGGATATTAAGTAAAGATCATGTTCCATGAAGATATTTTGTAAATGTCCTACTGTAAATATATAGTA